AAACTTGTGTAAGTATAGTGTACTAAACATGAACATCAGCATCTCTGCCCGGTTCAGATTTAGACAGTATTGCAATTAAACTTGACCTCATTCCAATACTATAATTGTGTCCCAAATGACTCGCTAAACACAGTGCACTTAAACACTCTGCATTTACACACTCAGTTATGTTGTGAGAAAGTTCATGAAGTACATGAATATATATCTGGGCTGCCAGGCGATTAAATTATTTAGTCCCACATTTTATTAGGCGGCCTTAGCTACTATGTATTTGCATCAGAAAATAAATACAATGTACTTACTGTGTTCATAATGTATTGCAGAAGACTTCTGGTGCTCTTGAGAATACGGGTAGGGTTAGGGACAGGTTTGTTGGTATGGGTTGGTTTAAGGGTGGGTTAAGGTGTAAGGGATGGTCAACATTGTTTTTCCAAATGTAATTACAGAAATGAATTACAGATTTAAATAATTGCATGTATTTAATCAATCAATCAATCAATCAATCAATCAATCAATCAATCAGAAATACAATGTAAAAACATGTTTTTACACAATATGTAGATTTGTAACAAATGATTAATTTCAGTGCAAGTTACATATTAGTTGAGGCCACTTAATATAAAGTGGGACTAGGGCTGAGCTGATAAATGAAATATGAAATCGTGATCAAATTTATGTCAATAACAATGATAAAATGTTGACGTTTTTACTGTATATTGATCTAAGAACCAATCACAAAGCAGAAAAGTCCAACAATGGGAATCTAAAAGTGTGTTGATATTAGAAATGTACAAAATTTTCAAACACCGAAAATGTATCGGCCAAAAATATGTTAAGCCATTTAATAATTTTCACATTTTTGTGGTTTCAGTCATTGTTGGGAGCTCTTAAATCTGGAAGCATTAACAACTTGGATTGAAATATATATTGTGATTGTTCAGTATGGAAAACAGTTATCGAGATTGCATTTTTGCAATATCGTCCAGCCCTAATTGGGAGCAAATATTTAATCGTGGTTTAATTAATTGCATAAAAACTGGAGTTAACTCAATATTAATTACAACTTAATTGCACATTTAATCTGTTCCAAATGTACCTTAAATTAATATAGCATTGTATTTTGAAACTGCATAACAACAACATCAGGGACTTAAAAGTACACACAATAAGTGTGCACACTTAAAATTATTGACTGAAGCACTTGACAGAAAACCGAATACCAATTACATTTATTCAGGTTTTTTCCCCCCCCATATATTTAGCTAATTTTGTCTAACTTTTTTTCTTGTTGACAGAACCATTACAATAAGGTTTAGCCAGACCTAACGCATGAACTCAACGCAGAAGTATAAATTGGGCGTAATTGCATAGAATGACATACTCAAATGACTTTAAACTAGTTTAATTTGTGGTCTGTTTTGGAAGTGTTTTCACACCAGATGCAGCATTCTTAAAAAATAATCACCTCATTCGCGTAAATAGACGCGTAAACATTTTGAGTTTATTTGCTTCATTCGCGTGTTAAATTCGCTTCATTTATGTATGAAATTCACTTTACAATAGATGTGGATTTGCATCTTGAACAGGGCTTCTGTCTGTCCGGTGACTAGCATCGTTGCTACATAGATTTAATTGAGAGAATAGCTGTGTTTATGTGCTTTAGGAACCCTGAAAACTAGCGTAGATGCGTTTGGCGCCATGTCTGAGTCTACTGGATGCTTTCAGAGGTGCACCCAGCTCTGTGAAATCATCAACTCCTCCAGAAACTGGATGATAGAGGCTTTCTGCAGTGCTTTAGACTGAGTCGAGCCCAGTTTGATGAACGGTTGTCCGGAGTTGGCAAGAGCATTTCTCCTCAGGACACCAACAACTAAAGGCACTACGTCATAATCATAACAATTCATTGCTAGATGTTTATTTTTGAAGAATTATTCAGTGGCATGTTTTTGATGGCTGGTTGTCGCCACCTTTTGGTTAAACAATGTTATTGCCTACATTTTCTTTTTTTTTTTTTTTACTTCTGTGTTATTTGACTGTTTGTAAACTAAAGACTCTCTTGATTTTAGCCTTTTAAGGATTAATAAACATGCAAATCACTATAATTTATAAATTGTTGCGTGGTTGTTGATATCCTGATCTTTTAATGATTAATCGTGCAGCTTACACTGAATGTATTGATGCAGGCTAAACAAATAATGACATAAACCTTTAATAACCTAAGAAACCCACCACATCCCGAAAAACCTACCACATCGTCTTCTGTCATTATTATATTTTACAGGAAAGTCTAAATGCTTTCATACATGTGATTTAAATGACGCGAGAGGTGATCTCTTTGTGATAGTTACAAATTTAGGAATACATTCATTCATTTTCTTGTCGGCTTAGTCCCTTTATTAATCCAGGGTCGCCACAGCGGAATGAACTGCCAACTTATGCAGCAAGTTTTTATGCAGCGGATGCCGTTACAGACGCAACTCATCTCTTGGAAACATCCACACACACTCATTCACACACACACACTCATACACTGCGGACAATTTAGCCTACCCAATTCACCTGTACCACGTGTCTTTGGACTGTGGGGGAAACCGAAGCACCCGGAGGAAACCCACATGAAAGGAAGTCAGATCATGCAAACTCCACACAGAAACGGCAACTGAGTCGAGGTTCGAACCAGCGACCTTCTTGCTGTGAGGCGACAGCACTACCTACTGCGCCACTGCCTCACCGAAATTTAGGAATAATCTACCAATAAAAAATTTATTAATCTGCGGGTCATGTGTGTTCCAAACCATGGTTGTGATCTGTATGAATCATGGATCGACCATGATCCGTTACACCCCTAACAAACAATATATATGGAATTCTCCTTGAGTAATGATCAGCCACTTGCTGTCGGCTTTGATTCAGCCTCTCTGATAGTGTTCAAAGGGACTGAAAATGCTAAGCTGTATCCCAGTGGCCCTCTGTCTCTCTTTCTCAATTAGTTGGTGCCTGTGTGCCAGGTGGTATTTTGGTTTTAGATCAGTTATTGATGTCGCCCGCATGGTTTGTATCACCCATGGGACCAGAACATGAGCAAAATTATCATTCATGACTTCATCCTACAATTGGGAACCTATAAGCCTGGAAATGTGTTCCTTACAAATCGTCACCTTAGAATTACAAGCTTCCATCTGACATTTTTGTTAAGATTTGGTTATTGACATATTCTTATTAAATGACAACTTATTTACATTATGGGATGTTTTTTTTCTATAAGTTGTTTACATTTTAAAACTTTTTTATTTAAAAAAACACTGTTACGCACATACTGTTTGCTATGGAATGCAAAAACTTTAAAGCTCAATATCTCAAAATCATTCAGAACGCAGATAGAACCTTATAATTCCAAGGTGTCGAAATGTTAATTCCTTTTTCGTTCTTTTTTTGAACATTGTTTATTGGGTTATAATGGTTAGCACTGTCGCCTCACAGCAAGAAGGTCGCTGGTCCGTGTCCCAACTGGACCAGTTGGTATTTCTGTGTGGAGTTTGCATGTGTTCGTGCGGGTTTCCCACACAGCCCAAAAACCTGTGCTGTAAGTGAATTGGATAAACTAAATTGGCTGTAGTGTATGAGTGTATGTGTGTGTGAATGTGAGGCCCCGTTTACACTAGTGCGTTTTAGTTTTAAAACGGCGTTTTAGATCAAAATTGATCCGCATCCACACTAGCCTTTCAACTAGCGTTTCTGTACATATCTCCGTCCACACTACGCAACAAAAACATATATCACGTGACCATTCGCGCACTCTGGGCATGCGCGTTCTAGTATAAACAGATAGCATGTGTCACTCTCGGCATTTGATTATTGTTAGTCAACAAACACCGGTTGAACAATGAAAGCGACGGCAAAGAAAGCAAGAGAGGTATTTTTTGTGGGCAGACGACGAGGTTGAGTTGTTAATAAACGTAACAAATGAATAACTGCACAATGACGCCTAAAACAGACAAAGTGCAAACAACGCTCCCATTTCTGTGTCCATGTTGTTGTTTACAGTGAAAGCTGGTCTGCTGTCTTCCGGTAGCCTGAAAGCCGTGTGTTATAGTCATGTGGTTGGGGCTTGACGAATAAGGGAAGGATACGCAATGACACAAAGCCCCAATCAGGTAGCGAATCTCAGCAGCCCCGCTGCTGAGATTGAGCAGCAGCGATTTAGAATGAAAACAGCCTCTCCAGCGTTTTCAAAACGCTCTGTTTTCTGCGTTTGAAAACTCCGGCGTAGTGTGGACGTATGGCGTAGCTGTATCCAAACTTATGCGTTTTCATACCCTAACTCTAACTAAAATGCATTAGTGTAAATGAGGCCTGAGAGTGTATGGGTGTTTCCCAGTATTGGGTTGCGGCTGGAAGGACACCCGCTGCGTAAAACTTATGCCAGAATAGTTGGCCGTTCAATCCACTGTGGCAACTGTTGATAAATAAGGGACTAAGCCGAAGGAAGATGAATGAACGAATGAATATAAAAAGATTTGAATTTAATTTGTCAAAATTAGTAGCGGCATTGTTTATTATTTTTTTATTTCAAAACCTCATATTTGCACAAATGATATCTCCCCAACAAAATATTGAATATCATGAATTCCCTTTTTTTCCCCGTTTGTTGAAAGTGGTTTTCTCCAGTGGGATAATGATCGTGTCGCCCTCTGCACCTTGTCATAATGAATACTCTGCTCTGGAGTACATGTGAGCACCTAACGATATTATCCCTGATAAAAATACCCTCTAATCTGATAATGCCCCTGCTAGCGTTGACATCAGTGTGTCTTTTAAACCAGCATCTCCACATTTTCTGCTTTAGATCTCCATTTTTCTGCTGTGTGTTGACCTTTAGCTGATATCAGACATCAGCGGTGCTCATATGGTGATGCTCAGGCTTGCGCTCGGGGCTGCTATGACTTCTCTTCAACAGTGTGTTTGTGTGTTTGTTGTTGTTGTTGTTGTTCTGTTATCAGGGCATTTTTTGGAGTTGCAGGCAGAGTATTTTTGAGGAAATGCAGAAGAAGTTCTCGCAGGTAGTGTGTATATGTGTGTGTGTGTGTGTGTTGCATGTGTGTGTGCTTAAAGCATGATGATTCATTTGACACTAACACTCAAATGAAGACGTCAGGGCAAAGAGGGAAGCTGAGGACAAGATGCTATTTTAGGCACATGAGAATTTGAGAATGTGTGTGAATAAATAAAAAAAGATAAATAGAAAACTCAAAAAAAATTGCAAAAATCAAGAAGTCTGGTTCTTTTATATGCAAAATGCTGTATTTAAATTTGCACACTGGGAGCGCTGATCTCACCATACAGTATTCAAGATGTCAAAAAAAAATGATAATAAGCAGGAAAAATGCACCGTTTTTAAAAGAATAAATAAAATTATAATAAACATGTTCTTACATGTGCAATTAATTTGAACATGCTTGATCTTTCTCCCCTAGTATGTACAGTGTATTTGGGTAATAACTCAATAATAATTTGTTAGTATTTATATTTTTTATATAGAATATATGTTTTTTTTTTTATTAAAATGGTTTAATTAATTAGACAGATGTAGGGCTACAACTAACGATTATTTTAACAATCGAATGATCTGTCGATTATTTCTTCGATTAATCGATGAATTGGATAAAAACAAAACAAGAAAAGCATTCATTTCCAACCCTTCATTAAAAAATGCTCATCCGTGAGCTGTAATAATAATAATAATAATAATAAAAACATTAATAAAATAGTTTTGTCCTGTTTTTAATCCAAATATCTAAAAAAAAAAAATCAAGATACATACTAGACAGATGAAATAGCAAAAAATGATGTCTTGTTTTCTGAAATAAACCCACCTCAAAATAAGTGATTAGTGGCTTAAGACAAGCAAAAGTATTTGCTAATTATTTGCCAATGGGGTTAGAAAAATAATCTTAATAAGAAATAATCTCAAACAGAAGTTAAGCATCACTTATTTGTGTTATTAATTATTTTTTAGATATTTGGACTGATAATTAGACAAAATGACAGAAAGAAAGAAAAGAAAGAAAGAAAAGCAGCTTTGCAGTGCAGCTATACTTGACAACAAATGGAAAAATGAATGATCCAAAAAAAAAAAAGGCGAGTAAATAAAAACATGTCTTAAGTCTTGCAAAGTGCAAAGTAACTTTACCACTGCTGCCTTACTACTGTGGTTAACCCTTTTGCTTGTGAGTTTCAAAGATTCTGGACCAGGAGTCAGTTTTGTTAGGTGAACATTATTTTTGAACGTCAGCCTTAATGTTTCACCAAATCATCTGGTGAAATTATATTCATATTGCGGCAAAATAAAATATCGCATTATATATATATATATATATATATATATATATATATATATATATATATATATATATATATATATATATATATAAGCATCATATTCAATGCATATTTTCAAATATATTAAAATTTTTATTTTAATAGCTTCCGAGAATCCAAAAAGAGCCACTTATTGATAAATAATGTTTTGATAGCTGTTTTAACATGAAGTTACGATTAAATTGCCTAGTTTCAATTATGAAATAGTTTAATAACATGCAGGAAATGTTCATGGGCCAATGACATGGCGCATTGAAATGGTCTTTATTGCTACATTTGTGGAAGATTAACATGATTTATTGTTACAGCATTATGAGGTATTAAAATGCTGTAATTAAAAACATATTTGCTTTTTTATTTATTTTAAAGGGAAATGTCCCCCAGATGTTTTCTTCATGGACAAATGTTTTAATTTTATTTATAATATTGTGTAAAAGAATGAATTTTTTTCAAGTTTCAACCACCTATGAAAAACAACTTAAGTAATCTTTTTTTCTTCAAAGTAAACATCTGCTTAGCAAAAATAGGAGCATGAGATTAGATCAATTTTATATGGTTAGAGATCATGCATCACACAACAGATTTTGTAGTCAATATATAAAATCACCACAGTCCGGGCTGTAAAAAGCAATAAAACATTAAAGGGCAATAAATGGTATTACAAAAACTATTTGTCTTTTTTAAAGTATATATAGGAAGCATTCATATTGTTTTTACAGTAAGCAAGTGAAATAAATACAAAAATAAAGTTACCCTAAAGGGATAGTTCAAAGTTTCTTTCCTCTGTTGAACACTAAAGAAAACAATTTAAAGAAAGGTGAAAACCAGTAAACTGACTTGAGTAGTAGGAAAAACAATAGCTTTGGAAGTCAATAGTTACAGGTTTCCAGCTTTCTTCAAAATGTCTTTTTTTGTATTTACCAGAAGAAAGAATACCTTAAAAGTTTGAAACAAGTAAATGATGACAAATATTTACATTTTTGGGTGAACTATCCCTTTAAGTAAAGTATTTTCTGTGTTCATCCCATCAAAAGAATACAAAGAAATGTTTTGCCTGCTTCGTTCTTAGAATCCTCGGTCAGCGGTAACATGATCAGTTCTTTAGCAGACACTCAGACAGTGTATAAAAAGACCATGGCTCTGCTTTGTAAACAACACCTGTGTTACAATCCCTGGAATAAATGTGCACAAGTCAACAGGGGCACATTGTATAATGGAAGAATCTTCCAAATGGGTTATTTTTTTTAAACACAAATTACTCAAAGTCATTTGTAAGCAATGGGGAGCCCAGCAACTAACAGAAACTAGCTGGAACTCTCCGCTTTAAACTTACAAAGAAAGGTGAGGAAAAAAGTGTAACGATTTGGGGAAAGCTGCGACAGAGAAACAGAGCGAGAGGATCCGCCTCCTTTCATTTTATAGCCTTTTTTTCCCCAGCTCAATCAATAAGTAACTAGAGAAAGCAAAGCAAAAAAAAAAAAAAAAGATAAAACAATATTGACCCTATTGACTCTAGACCTGGGTGTACATAAGACGCATGTAACAACTTGCAATTAATCAACACTACTACTCTCAGAGTCAACAATATGCCTTTGACTGCATAATGCAACCCTAAAAACCTAAACCATAACTTCAATTTTCTAAGCCAGACAACACAGGCTCATTGGAAATAAATGCTTCAGCCTATATTTTTGTAATAACATACATTTAACTGCAGATTCTAGGTAAAAAAATAAGGTTACGGGGCAGTACGACGCCAGCTACTTTAGTTCCTTTTCACTATAATATTTACGGAGGCATATTTCTTTCTTTGTAGCTGCATGTCACCCTGTGTCGTGCCCGTTCACGCCGGGACGCTTATTGCTGACATTTTGCGTCAATGTTTAGCACCTCGTGACTAAACAAAGGGCGGCAATGTGATCGTGCAAACCAACGCGCAAAATGCCAAGCAAAAAAGCGTCATTTTTGAAGAAACGCCTCATGCTCGTTTTTTTTTTTTTTTGTTTGTTTGTTTTGATGCACCACATCAAAACCTTCTCCACCAATCAGATTGCCACTTTTGTTCAAGTGCACGGAGCTGCTGAAGTTACAGTAAACAGCACTTGGAGGCGCTCAAACGCAAAACTTTTAATGCGAACGCACATTGAAGAAGATGCCCAGAGGCGATATGAACGTGGAGCTGCTTATTGCACTAGTGAACAAAAATAATTTCTTCTTCGCTGGAGCTGCTACTTGAACCATCTATGATTGTTCGAATTGCCAGTAACTTCAACAACAAGCGTGTCAACTTTCTGTCTTCTTCTTCTGTGTTACAAGCGGGTGTCAGAAGCTTAAAGTTGTTTAGCGCTATCTAACGTCAAGGAGTGATTTTGCGTTTTCTTCTGCTCGACGCCAGTTAAAATTGCTTTGGTTTGAATGCGGAAAAATGTCTCAAAATCCTGACGATACACACAAATGAAAAACCTCCTGATGTGTATGAGCCTAAAGCCTGATTTATACTTCTGCGTCAAGTGACCGGCGTAACCCACGGCGCATGCAACGCGCGTGGCTGTGCATTTATACTTTTGCTCGCTGTCTCTGTTGGTCTGCATTAACACATTTCGCTAGTTGGCAGTGAGGTGTAAATGTTCCTATGTGTCGAGTTTCTTCGCTGCTTTTTTGCTTTTCCTGAACACTTCCGGGATGTACAAGTGGCTCAAACTCACTCATTTTGAGGCAGCAACCGGCGGACGTGCAACAACTTTAACTATGAGGTAAACACAAAACAAAACTTTCCATCCGGAGCTCCTTCACGGGACTCCACACTTCTAAACAATCGCTACATTGGGTTCGCTCTCGGTCCCACCCCGACTCGTCAGCGCTACTAAGCCGACCAATCACAGAGCTTGCGCTACGCGTTGTTGCGACGTGTAGTTAAATTTTTTGAGAGGTGCACGTCAGTGACGGCCACGGCAAAAGGCTATGCGTCAGCGCCGTAGCATACGCCGGTGTTTGACGCAGAAGTATAAATCAGCCTTTAAGGTTGCTTAGGTAATGTTCATGATGATTCACTGGGAATGAATGAGTTTATGTGCCAATGAAGTTGTCAAAAGTATAAAGTTCAGTACCAATCGGTACTTGTGTTGTCACGATACTGGAATTCGATATATTAATCGGTACTGCAGTTTTAAAAAAGTCCATTTCACAGTGGTGAGTTCGGGGATGACTTTCACGGTCACATGAACACAATGGCAAATCAGCACTGTTCAAAAATGTGCTCAACAGTGCTCAAATGCTAGCAGGAAATGGATTTTAAAAATTTCAGCACCAAATAGTGTCAAATTCCAGTATCGTGACAACACTAATCGGAAATACAGAATTCAAAAAATGTTCATGCTGATCTGTATAGATCAGGGGTGCTCGCCTTTACTAAGTTTACACTGAAACTGCGGCTCATAACAAAGAGCAGTATTGCGCCGATGGTTAGCGCAAGAATCCTGCTCTGCCTGCTCATAAATTGGGTCGGCTGACTCGCCAGCTTTTTTCACAAACACAGAAAAATGAAGATCATCTCAGACTGAACATTTAAATTGACACAAACTGAAACCAAAACTTTTAAAGAGTGATAGAAGTGAGACTTTACTTACTTTCTTTTGTCTATTCTTTTTTGAGGTGTATATTATTTTTTTATTTATTTACTGATGACTGCTTTGCAGCTTTCATCATTGAATTGAATGATTTATTATAATCTTTTGTTTGTTTTGTAGCAGAAATATTATTTATTAAATTGACACGCATAGATAAACAGCAGTACAAAATAAATATTTCTTACTGCAATCCTTTTTTTTTTGTTTGATGCAAACTATACAATTATTTTTCATAAAGTTACAGACTTTTTATAGCAGATAACCTACATTCATACACATTCAAGGCAGTATCATAGTGAGAAATGTAATTCATTGTTACTATTATTGTCATTTTTTATCATCATTAATATTCTATAGCCTAATTATTAGACATTAATTTTGGAATTATTGCACACAAATATCAATGTCTTCGCAGCATTAGTTAGATAGTTGTTTCTGGTTTTTGTCAGTCCTATTAAAGTTGTTTTAAAATACAATAAATCCCTTAAAAAACAATTTGCAGCGGTGCTCATTCATTTTTGGTGGGTGCTCCTACATTTTTTCTGGTGCTCTTAAAAAATTTTTGGTGCTCCTAAATATTTGAAGTTGAGAGCACCGGTGCTACCAAATAAAGTTAATTTCGAGCCCTGTGAAGGGCCGGTGTTTTGCATATTTTAATTCCAACCCCCATTAAACACACCTGTACCAGCTAATCAAGCTTTTTCTAGTTATACTAGAAACGTCATGGGCCAACACTGGCGACATGGTCAGAGTATTTAAGGCCCCTTTACACTAATACGTTTTAGTTTTAAAATTATGTTTTAGAATGAAAATGATCCACGTCCACACTGGCATTTCACCTAGCGTTTCTGAACAGCTCTCCGTCCACACTACACCACTGAAAACACACCTGAACCAGCTAATCAGGTTTTTTCTAGTTATACTAGAAACCTCTAGGGAGGTGTGTTGAAGGAAGTTAGAGCTAAACTACATAGGACACTGGCCCTCCAGGAACGAGTTTGGACACCCCTGGTGTAGATCAAGAGCATGTAGATACAAATAACTGCTGCTGTAGAACCGGATCGCTTTTCATTTGCATAAAGTTGAAAGATTCTCAACTTGGTCGCATCGATCATCATGCCTACGGTAGCTTGCGTAGCGAAAGTTCCCTAAAGTCGCTTGTTTTCCATTTAAATGAACTTCCTTTGTTGCTCGTTGGTCAGTGGTTCGCTAGGTGATCTGTATGATAAGCCTCCGCCTTCTCATGGACATGTACAAGAAGGACCGACACGTACGACAAAACAAGGACAAGGAAATATACCCAAAGCAATGTATTTTACGTTTTTCAAACATTACATTCGCAATCTGATGATGGCAAATACAATCAGTCCAGATGTGCCAATCACTATAGTTAGACAAAAAAAAGACAGAAGTAGATATTCACAAAGAAAGTTAAATACACCAACGTTTTTTTTTTTTTTTTTTTTTTTGATATTCTCTTTTTTTTGTATCACAAAATGATTTTATATTCTGTAGCTGATTGTGATAAAACATTTCCGCATGTTCAAAATTAACTTTATAGCTTTTTTTTAATCTGTTGTACCAAACCTGTATCAAACCGTGACCCCATTAGGCATGTACTGAACCATGACGTCTGTGTACCATTATACCCCTAGTTTACAGGCAGGAAGTGAAGAATGTATACTGACATCATGCATATTTGTTACAAATCTTTGTATGTTTGTGCAGGATGCAAGATTCAATTACTGACCACTCGTTTCAGTCAGAATCTCTTCTGTGGATAGACAATAAGGGCCTACTCACACTATGCCATCCGTACCATGCCCAGGCCTGTTTCTCGGATCGTTTGAGAAGTGTGAGTGTGCTGAATCAGGCTCAAGCACGGTTCACTTGGCCGGCCCTGGCCCGGTTGGAAGAGGTGTGCCTGAGCCCGGTTCACTTAGGCTTTGGCGCGGTACGCTTGTGTGCGAGTGCAAAACGGGCCAAAGTCCGAAACTGAAAATGAGACGTGACTTTTAAGGCACTGTTTCATATGGATTTATTAATAATTCTTACTGTTCAGTGAACGCAAACTGCCGTAGCTTATTAAAGACGCAAACCCCTCACTGCACGACAGCTGCGCGCCTTCAGCAGACCTCCTCATTCCTGCAGCATTATGAGCTTTATGATTGTTTATGAGCGCCAAAAGTGGCGGATCTGTTCGGCGAAATATCTGACTGCGTTTCCCCGCATCCCTAAGGACTGTTTCGCGAAATATTTAACGGCATATCAAACGACTGAAACGATATAACTAGAGAAATCTCCACTGTGCTGCTGAGTGAGAGAGCACTTCTCACTGAACAGCCCAGCATCGATGACGTAAGCGTGCCGAAGCCCGTTTGTGGTGTGAGCGCGGGCCGTCGGGGGAGACGGGAGGGGGGACAAGCATGCTTTGGCCCGGTTCGAGGCAACTGTACCTAGTGTGAGTACGGCCTAACTTTATTTTTTGTGCATTTTGATACTTGAAAATATAAAATTTATAAACATTTTTTTTTTTGTGGTCATGTTTTTAGTTTGTTTAAGCTTGTTTTTTTTCCTTTACTAGAGTGCAGAACTAAATTTCTAACCTGAGTAGCTTTGAGTCAGTTGAAGTGTGTCTCATACGGTTGCTTGTTTACATATTTCCTGGCTTACCATATGAAACAGTGGCCTTCAGAGTGTTACATAGCACCATGCTTGATCAGTTCTTTGATGATATTGCATTGCACAAGAAAACTATTGCACTTTTGCTTGTCAAGTGCTTTTTTTTTAAATGAAGTTATCCAAACAGGGACTGAGCTCAAATTAATACGTGTGCTTGGTCAACTAAACTTAAATCATGCGTGTTTGTGTATTTGCAGATTGAAAGTGCAGCGGAGGAGCCAAGAGTGTTGTGTATAGTGCAGGACACCACCAATGCCAAGACCGTCAATGAGAGGCTGACGCTCAACCTGCCCGCCTCCACCACTCTCAGCAAATTCTTTGAAGATGTGGCGCACAAGGCTGGATACGTCAACGGCACTTTCTGCCTGTCATGGGCCAACACTGGCGACATGGTGAGAGTCTTTAAAGGGCCATGAAACCCCCTCGTTTCAGCAGGGTGTTTTCACACCTTTACTTTGGAAAAAGTCAGAAAAGTGGGCGTGTCCAGCTCTGTTTAGGGGGAAGTGTCGGAGAAAGGAAAGAGGCATGGTGTGGGAGTGTCTATTTGGGCACGCGCTGACTTTCAGAGTAAAAACACACACACACTACATGGACATCTGTAGTCAAATTATTTGCCAAATTATTAAATGGTGGACTTTAACTGCAGTCTGGCTCTTTCATTCAGGGAATTCATTCATGTCCCTCGCGACAAACGAGATATTTGATTCGAGGAACTGCTCTAAGCGTGTATTTTTCATGCAATGTTTGATACCGCAGGGTGAATGAGAGAAAAAAAAACCCTCTGCATTTCCCGGAAACTTAGATGCACACGGCAGGTAGCGTCAGAAAGCCGCGTGTGTTATTCCGGTCACAAACTGCGGTGAAAATCCTACACGAGGTTAAAGTTTGGTTGTGGTTCTAACATGTTTACACTCGGTGTAATAGTTTGTTCGATGCGAACAAACTGAATAAACAAAGAGCACTGGTCGCTCACTTATCAAATCTGTAGAGACAGGACAATCACCAGTAACTAGAGCCGCGTCTTTATTAAGAGGAGACTACAAGCAAATCCGGATCTCAGCGTTTGCAGATGAGAACAGCTCTCAGGTAAACAATAATCCTCCTTAGACACGTAAGTTAATGTTGTCGAGCGTCGCGTACACTGTTAATCCACGCGTGACTCCAGCTGAGCTCTCACAGAGAGAAAATGAAAACAAAACTTAACTGCAGCAAACTATAAAAGCAACACTTCATGCTTGTTTTGCCAACACAACGTGGCGTCTTTGCCGTCTACACTGTGACAGTAATGAATATTAATGAAGTTGCACAATAGAGCGCGCTGATTGGTTTGAACCAAGCCTTACTCATGCATTAATGCATCACACTGAAATACTGCAAAAACAACCAATTAACACTTTTTAGTGAAATATAGTTGTCCTAATAGTGTTTATAGCAGTGTGGGACACATATACGACTGTCAACAGCTCAAAAAATGTGTTTTGGTGTTTCGTGACCCTTTAAGGCCCCTTTACACTAATACATTTTAGTTTTAAAATGGCGTTTTAAAATGAAAACTAAACTTTAAATGCACAAAACAGGGAGGAGCGGTAAGGGGAAGGGCTAAGGGATACTTAATATTCTTAAAAAGGTCTTAAAATGTCTTAAATTTGACATTATGATATCTTCAGAAACTCTGTTCTTAATAAACACTTAGCTAATGGTATCAGCTGTCAGCGAAAATGAGTATTGGCATATTGGACCTGTGCATCCTGCTGTGGAGATATGATTATGTTTACTGCTTCATTCTCCATCTAACTGCGTGTTAATCCCAGCGCTGACCCAGCACACAGCATGTAGCTGCAGGTAACTCTTTGAGTAGGTCAGTGGATTAAGGCCTGTTTCTACCACCACCCATGTTGCTCTCCCACCAGTAGACCTGTGGGCAGTTTACTCGTACATGATGTCCCTCAGGTAGCACAGCCTTTTCTTCCATGCTAAATAAATGCTCCGAAGAGATGTGCTATATCTGCAGTTAAATCTTTTCTCTGTGAAGGTCGTTCTGCATGTTTAGGCTTGCTCTTTGCATTGTGTTCCAGACAGCATTTGTCGTTTTCTTTGTTTCGTACTACCACTTACTCTTTATCCATTCATATGTCACTTTTTTGTTCCTCTACTCTCTCTCTCTTTTACAACTGAAGGCTCCTCTGGACCAGGCCAGTGAAATGTCCCTGGTGATGTCCGGTTTTGAGGCGGGGAAAAGAAATTTTCTGCAGCTCACAGACAAGGATGGGGAGCAGCCGCAGATCGCTTCAGTGAGTTGTTCAGTTCATGTCGTCGGTTATTTTTATTGGTAACACTTTACTATAAGGTTCATTAGTTAATGCATTTACTAACATGAACTAATCATGAACAACACATATAAAGCATTTATTAATCATAATTGAACATTTACTAATGCATTATTAACATCCAAGTCCATGCTTGTTAACATTAGTTAATGCACTATGAGTTAACATGAACTAACAATGAACTACTGTATTTACATTAACTAACGTCAACTAACATGAACAAATACAGTAGTAAATGTATTGTTCATTGTTTGTTCATGTTAGTAAATGCATTAATTAATATTAACTAATGAACCTTATTGTAAAGTGTGACCTTTTTATTACATATTCAACGTAAATTGTGTCAAAGCAAACTTAACATATACAGTCGAAGTCAAAATCATCAGCCCTCCTGATTTTTTTTATTATTATTATTTTTTATCTTTTCAAATAGTTTCCAAGTGGTGTTTAACAGAGCAAACATCTTCTAGAGAAAGTCTTATTTGTTTTATTTTTGCTAGAATAAAAGTAGCAAATAATAATTTTAAGGTCAATATTATTAGCGTCCAATCAGTTTTTTACTTTGTGTCCTCCATTTGAATTTTGCGCACCATCAGGATCGTGTAAACAACGTATAGACCTTAAAATTGTTTTTAAAAAGCAGCAAATAATAATAATTAAAAAAAAGAAAAAATTTATACACGCACACACACACGCGCGCACACACAGTTGAAGTCAGAATTAATTTTTTTTTCTTATTTAAATATTTCCCAAATTATGTTTAACAGAGCAAGGAAATTTTTACAGTATGTCTGATAATATTTTTTCGTCTGGAGAAAGTCTTATTTGATTTATTTCAGCTAGAATAAAAGCAGTTTTTCATTTTTTAAAAAACATTTTAAGTTCAAAAGTATTAGCCTCTTTAAGCTATATATTTTCGATAGTCTACAGAACAAACCATCGTTATACAATAACTTGCCTAATTACCCTAACCTGCCTAGTTAACCTAATTAACCTAGTTAAGCCTTTAAACATCACTTTAAGCTGTATAGAAGTGTCTTGAAAAATATCTAGGCAAATATTATTTACTGTCGTCATGGCAAAGATAAAATAAATCAGTTGTGAGAGAAAAGTTAATAAAACTATTACGTTTAGAAATGTGTTGAAAAAATCTGCTCTACATTAAACAGAATTTGGGGAAAAAATAAACAGTGGGGCTATCAATTCAGGGGAGCTAATAATTATGACTTCAACTTTATATATATATATATATATATATATATATATATATATATATATATATATATATATATAAAATATGCAAAATACTAATAATTTTGACTTCAACTGTTAATAACCAAATGCGACTGATCAAACGTAAGATTAAAAAATCACAATCAGACACTTACTCAACATTTGTGACAGGCCTGCTGGAAGGTAAGCCTCATTAATTATTCACCTGTGACTGTCTTACAGGATGAATCTGCCACAGCAGACAGCGGTGGTCTTGATGACAGCTCTCAGGATCGCTTCATCGGACCCTTACCGCGGGACGGTACTGTAGGCTGCAGCAGTGACTACAGCAGCCCCAGTTATTCCTACTCCTCCATACTCAACAAATCAGAGACAGGTAGCGCTGCTTAACCATGCTTTGTTGGGCTACTTTGCCTTATATAAATAAATGGTAATATTTTATTTTAATGGTACCTTTTGCACATTTATCTTTGACTTTAAGTCAGTTGTGGACATTAACAAAGTGTTTGTACTTCACTACTAAACTTGAGTACATATTTTATGTACAGTTAAAGTCAAAATGATTTGCCCTTTTGTGATTTTTCTTTTCTTTTTTTTCTTTTTCAAGTATTTGCCAAATGATTTTTAACAGAACAAGTTATTTTAACAAAGCATGATATTTTTTTATTTTGGAGAAATTCTTATTTGTTTTACTTTGCATGAATAAAAGCAGTTTTTATTTTTTTAAAAGCCATTTTAGGGTCAATATAGCCTCCTTTAGCTATATTTATTTCGAGTTTCTACAGAAAAAAGCATTGTTATACAATAACTTGCCTAATTACCCTAACTTATCTAATTAACCTAGTTAAGCCCTTAAATGTCATGTTAAAGTAAATACTAGTGTCTTCAAAAATATCTAGTAAAATATTATGTACTTTTCCTAGTGATGGGTTGTGGCTGGAAGGGCATCCGCTGCGTAAAAATGTGCTGGATAAGTTGGCGGTTCATTCCGCTGTGGTGACCCTGGATTAATAAAGCGACTAAGCCTTCATGGCAAAGATGAAATAACTTAGTTATTAGAAATAAGTTATTAAAACCATTATATTTAGATATGTGTTCAAAAAATATTTCCGTTAAATAGAAATTTGGGGGAAAGTAAAGTAAATTATACAGGGGGGCTAATATTTCAGATGGGCTAATCATTATGATTTGAACTGTATCTGTAAGTTATTGGAGTGTATTTATAGTAGGAAATCTTCACTACATTGCAAAATAAAATACTGTTCCTTTCATTGTACATTTTATTCCACTATAGTTTCTAAATAAAAAAAGAGTAAAAAGTTATTTTGAAGGGGAGTAATTTTCACCTGCACAGAGACAGGATAGTAGTGCTTTTATTGTGTCAGTACACCTGTTAAATTAGTTCACAAATTGCACTGAAAAATATAAAAACATGTATTTTCTCTTTAGCATTTTAATTGTATTCTTGTTGGTGTTTTATTGTTTGCCTTGTCTATCTGGTTTTATTTTTTACTCTAAGCACTTTGGAAAGCTTTTCTCTTTAATGTGCTATATGAATAAATTGTCTTTTTTTTTTTTTTTTTTTTTTGCGAATTGGACTGTCAACTGTCCATGATTCAAATGAGTTATTCAGCAAAAGTCTCCAGTAAATGATTCACCCATTCAAATGATTCATGTAGAGCAAGTCTCTACTAAATGATTCACTAATTATACAAACTGATCTTAGTGGGCTTAAATGTGGTTTTACATTTTAACTGTCATGAATTATTTTAGTTATTAGAGCAGGACATGTTTTAACAATCGAGTTTTCTTGAAAATTAAATATTCATCACTAAGTACTATTACTTAAGTTAGTTTACTCAAGTACTTTTTGAAAGATTAATAAAAAAATGCAAATTTTCATCATGTATAACAAACCATCATTACACAATAACTTGGCTGATAATCCTAATGATGCCTAGATACAATAATAACCTGATTATTTTTTGTTTATATTTCCTTTGAAGTATGGTATAAATCGCAAAAATACAGACTTTCCTCTATGTCTCCCATTCAATTTTGCACGTTACCTGAATCTTTTTTTCATTAAATATTTTCCCGGGTCTGTACGCGCAACAAATGGTTGGGGCTTGAATTCTGTAGCGACGTCACGTCGACACCCCTAAAGACTCGTTACAGCGGCGATTCATTTAAACCACTCTGAGTTGACTCTTTTATAGATGAATCAATAGTTTTAAACATGGCACACTTTCAGATGTAAGCCTTAGCTGGTTATTTAACTTCACTTAGAGCTTTGTTACACACCGCATGGAAGGTCATTTTCAAAAACCCATAATAGGGGCTCTTTAATGATTAGTTGTTCATCTTTACACTGTATGCAGTAATGGAGGCTAAACAAGTAGTGAGAGAAAACACCTTTAATAACCTAAGAAAGCATTTAGGAGCCACAACTTCTTCTGTCATCATTATATTTTACAGGGAAGACAAAATGCTTTCATACATGCGATCTGAATGACAAATCTAAATTTAGTTAAATAGCATGTAGTTTCGATGTAAGTTATAATTAACACAATGTGTTAAAGGAACACTGAAAATAAAGTCATACCAGCTTAACTGTTTTTTCATCTTGTTTCAAGGTTATGTTGGTTTGGTCAACCAAGCGATGACCTGTTACCTGAACAGCCTCCTGCAGACCCTTTTCATGACCCCTGAGTTCAGGAATGCACTCTATAAGTGAGCTTTCAGTTTCTATACACATTTTCAATCGTACAACTGTATCCTCCAACACTTTTGTTTTTTCTCCACCAGTTGGGAGTTTGAGGATTCTGAGGAGGATCCGGTCACCAGTATTCCATACCAGCTCCAGAGGCTGTTTGTTCTCCTGCAGACCAGTAAAAAGCGTGCCATCGAGACCACAGACGTGACCCGCAGCTTTGGCTGGGACAGCAGTGAGGGTATGAGACGTCACTTTAAACGTCCGTTCAAGAAACTTTATCCACATTAGCGCTGCGGTTATCAGATAGCAGGAGGAGTCTTGATTACTGTGAAACTCTTTACCTTGTGTGTTTCGCAGCTTGGCAGCAGCATGACGTCCAGGAGCTGTGCCGAGTCATGTTTGATGCACTGGAGCAGAAGTGGAAACAGACTGAGCAGGTATGTGCAAACCCCACCTCCCCATTGTATAATTCTAATGCACAACCACCAATGAGATCCCTACTTCAGGGCAAGGACAAACGATCCAGTGTTGAGCGAAGTAAAAATCATTTTAGAGAGTACCAAAGCTTTTTCTGATTGTGCCAATAGCATGTGTGTCTGGCAGGGTTCCTGGAATTTCTGGAAAATCATGGATATATTTTAACATTTAACATTTAACATTTTGATATATATATTTGTTCAAGTCATGGAATATCGTGGATTTACATTGTCATTTTCAGGCATATTTATTTGTCCTTTTTAAAGTGCCCATATAATGAAAATCTGGATATACCAAGGCGTAGTAGAATAATAAGAAATCAGAATATGGAAATGGACATACCGCAAGCCTCAAAGATCATTGTTTACTCGTTATCATGTAAATTCCACAAGTGTAAAACCCCCGTGGACAACGGGCCAATCAGAGCACATAACAAATTGTGATGAGACTCTCCGCCTTCCGTATTTGCATGTACGACTACTTTAGGTCATTCATCCGGACCTGAAGTCATCCAGAGAACCCAGACTCATGCATCTCTGAGATCATAAGTATGCATGCCTCAGGCTGTGTTTGATAAGCAACAATGTTTTCTCACTAGAAAACTATGATAGTTTTCCTTCATTAGTTATTTTAAAGCTTACTAAGCTTTAAACTTACTTAGTATGTGGGATTTTTATTTTGAAACACAACCACGGATTCAAATGTAGACTGTTGAATCATGTCAAATCCCTTAGCTCAACTGTCATCTGTTCATGCAGATAATATTACATTCTGACTGTGTTTTCTTTGACATTATAGCTTAAAAATACAATGCAATACATCTTTTAAACTCTCTATGTTTCATATTTTTTCCTACCCAACTTTCCACCCAAAGTATGCTTTTAATCATTAAGTAGATTTTACACTGACTAGTTTTTTGTTGAATAAAAATATGGGTATGGGTGTGTTTACTGAGCTCAGAGTTGTTTTGTGTTTGGTAATGTATGCTAAGTGTGTTCTTTCTTTTGTTTTTTGTTTTTTTTTCCCCAGGCCGACCTGATCAACCAGCTTTACCAGGGCAAGCTGAAGGACTATGTGCGCTGTTTGGAGTGTGGCTATGAGAGCTGGAGGATTGATACGTACCTGGACATCCCTCTGGTCATCAGGCCCTTCGGCGCCAGCCAGGCTTTTGGCAGCGTGGTGCGTCTGCCCATTAATATGACCATTTTTGTTGTGTCTGTTAAATTGAAGATGTACAAGTTTAAGTCTGAATTTTTCTCATTGTCAATATATTTCTAAAGGTGCTTTAAAATTTTCTCGGTTGTTGGTTACAACCAAATAAATCCATATATGCAAAGAAAACAAGACTAATTAGGTTACAAATTAAGTTGTGCGTAATAAAAATAAACGAGGCAGGGAAAAAGTATTGAACACACGAAGAAAGGTAGGTGTAGAAAGGCAGTGAAAGCCCAGACAGCAGCTAAAATCTCTCAGTAGTTCTTCAGCAATTTTCTGCCCTTCATTATTGTAAATTGTTACGATCCTTGATGGCAATTTGTCTAGGGTATTAAAAGGAGTAACATAAAGATGACCAAAGTAAAAACTGATGTTGAAAAATGGCAAAAGAAAACACCAAACAACAAATTAGCACCGCAAAGATTTATTGCTCCCACATTATTTACAATATTTACAAACAATAAGATAAATTTGAAAAGAACCAAGACAAATAGGAGAGGGAACTGAAGTTTTCGCATGGAAATCAAAGAAATAAATATAACAAAAACATTCCCTTAATCTCCTCCCCAATCCACTAAATAAGAAAATAACAATATGAAAAGAAAAGTCTTCAGCGCAAAGCGCCCTGAACTTACTCTAAGTAATAAATAAAAAATACAAAATTAGCGCACTTCGCTAACTAGTGTGTCTATACATCAATAATCCTGCCTGCAAATATGTATGTCACGTGACTTACTATGTTGTTCCAGATCTCCCTTGTCAAGTCACAGAAGGTTTTGAATGGAGCATTAGCGGGCTATAGATGTAGAAACACACGTCAGAACTCTCAAACAAATCTCACTCAAAGTCATCAGTTACTCACTCAAAGTCAACATCAATAAATTCCAATCAAAGTACACATCAGTAACAGCGACAACGCACACGGACACCACCAAACAGACAACACGCCAAAACAACAACAGCTGATTTCTCCCCGTTGCCGCTTCCGTTTTTAAAGGGCTCTGCAACGAACGCGATTGGCAGAGAGAGAAGTCATCGTCACACGGTTGATTAGGATTGGCAGTCCTGTCAGCCAATAGTGCTCCAAAGTAGGCGGTACCTGAGAAAATGACAGGGCCGGTACAGAGAGAGAGAGAAAGAGAGAGACAGAAAGAACATACACGCAGCAAAACTGTGCGGTTCATAACATAAATAAATATAAGCTGCTTCAGTCCAACATCTACATTAGCAGGATGATGAAGATGAAACCAGGGTGGACATTTCAGCAAGACAATGATTTACAAGACAGCCAAGGAAACTCTCAAATACTTTTAGAGAAGGAAAATCAAGCTGTAGAATGGCCCAGCCAATCACCTGACATGAATCCAATAGATATTATAAAATAAAGATCATATTTGATAGACGTGACCCACAGCACCATCAAGATTTTTACACTCTGTTGAAGTCTGTGAAAAAATCTAACCTGAGCAATTCATGTGGCTTCATTCTCCATATGAGAATCGTCTTTAAGCTGCCATCACATGTTAACAACTCTTATTATTCCCAATAGAAAACATGACGCATTCATGCTTATTTTCCCCACTGTAATTGAAATAATAATAATCAGTGTATTTCTTCAACGTTGTCCTCATTGTCCACTAACTTTGTGTCAAACAGGAAGAAGCTCTGCAGGCCTTCATCCAGCCTGAGACTCTAGACGGGCCCAATCAGTACTTCTGTGAGCGCTGCAAAAAGAAATGTGACGCCCGGAAGGTGAGTCAGATCAGAGGCTAATATTATGAACGTCTCTCCCACTGTTCATGGTGTGATGCAGTGTTTCTTCTTCCTTTCCAGGGTCTGAGATTCCTTCATTTCCCATACCTGCTGACTCTGCAACTGAAACGCTTCGACTTTGATTACACCACTATGCACCGCATTAAACTCAACGACCGCATGACCTTCCCTGAGGAGCTGGACATGAGCCCCTTCATTGATGTCGAGGATGAGGTGAGAGACAGATTTATGTTCGTTTTTCTCATGAAATGTGGAATATCTCAAAAGTTGCCATTTTTTGCTATACTGTTAATTGCAGTGTTGTCCACTATTTTTGAATATTAAATTTCAAAATAACTGATATTGAAACATTATATGGTACTGTACTATGTACAGCAGGGGTGGCCACCCAAATCAAACACACCTGAACCAATCAATTAGGACCTGAACACCACATGATAATTACAGTTTTTTTTTTTTTTAGAATTTTTTTTTTAGGGGGTTTTCACCTTTATTATGACAGGACAGTAGAGAATTCTGACAGGAAAGCATTGGGAGCAGAGAGAGGGCAAGGATCGGCATAGGATCTCGAGCCGGGAATCGAACTCGGGTCGCTGTGAGCACATTGGTGCTATATGTCAGCGCGCAGTACCATTAGGCTGCTGGCGCCGACAGGCTGGTGTGTTTGATATGGGTTGCAGCTGAAATCTGCAGGAAGGTGGCTCTCCAGGAACAGGGTTGGCCACCCATGATATACAGGTTAGAGTATTAGTGTAACTCGAAGAAATTGTGGCAAATGTAATAACATTGTACATTAGAACTTACTTTGCAAATTATTACTTTGCAAGTTATTAACATTAGTTTTTAACCTAAAAATGATTACATCTTCTATGATTTAAAGTTAAATGATTTGTCTTCCATTTTTCACCTTATTAGCAACATTATCAAAACAAAATTGCTGATAAGTTTGTATTTAATCATAAATGCAAAATATTTAAAACCAAATAACAGTTGTTTAGAAAAAAGTTATTTTCGTTCATCTTGTAATTAGTGTAATTTGGATCATTATAACATAAAGGGGTCATGAACTGAGAAACTATAATTTCCTTGATCTTTTGATATATAAGAGGTCATAATACTACAACCCCAAATCAGAAAAGGTTGGGACAGTATGGAAAAAAAACTAATAAAAAAAACAGAGAAGCGATTTCTGCAGGCGATACAACAAACATTATTTAATGTGTTCCTCATGATTTTATTTTTTAAATAAACATCTATTCTAATTTTGGTTCTTGCAACACATTTAAAAAAAGTTGGAACAGTAAAGCATTTACCACTTTGTAATGTTGCCATTCTATTTCACATCACTTAAAAGATGTTTAGGGACTGAAAACACCAAGTGATGAAGTGTTTCAGGTGTAATTCTGTCCTATTTTTCCTGCAACAGTATGGGGTCTTCGTTGTCGTTACGTTTGAAGCGCAAAATGCGGCACAAATTCTTTATTGGAGACAGGCCGGGACTGCAGGCACACCAGTCAAGTATCTGTATCCTCTTCCACCGCAGGCAGGACTTTGTAGTTTGTGCAGAATGTGGTTTTGCATTGTCTTGTTGAAATATGCATGGGAGTCCCTGGAAAAGAAAGCAGCATATTGTGCTCCAAAATCTCTGAAATGTACCTTTCAGCATTAATGGTGCCATCACAGAAGTGCAAGTTACCTTTGCCAAGGTCACTGACACAACCCCATACCATGACAGACCCTGGCCTTTGGACATATTGCTGGTAATAGTCTTGATGATCCTTTTCTTCTTTGGTCCCGGAGCACATGGTGCACCTGAAATACTGATTCATCTGACGACAGTACATGTTTCCACTGTGTGATGGTCCATCCCAGATGCCTCTAAGCCCAGAGAAGTCAACAGCGCTTCTGGACACTGTTAACATAAGCCTTCCTTTTGGTACAGTACAGTTTTTACTAGCAATTGTGAGTGTTACTACGTATTGTGGTACTTGACAAAGGTTTGCCAAAGTAGTCCTGAGCCTATTTGGTAATATCTCTAATAGATGAATGATGATTCTTGATGCAGTGCTGCCTGAGGGATCGGAGATCACGGTTGTTCAGCTTAGTATTCGCTCCCTTATCTTTCATGCACTGAAATTCCTCCAGATTCCTTGAATCTTTTAATCATGTCATGCACTGTTGAAAGTGAAATATCCAAATGCCTTCCTATCTTTCTTTGAGGGACATTGTTTTCAAACATTTCAATAATTTTCTCACATATTAGTTGGCTTATTGACGATCCTAGACCCATCTTGCTCCTAATGGACTAGACCTTTCTTGGATGCTACTTTTGTACCAAATCATAATTAAAATCACTGGTTGAAATCACCTGTTTTTAAATCAGATCCTTATTTAACCAATTTACCTAATAATAATAATAATAATAATAATTCCTTACATTTATATAGTGCTTTTCTGGGCACTCAAAGTGCTTTACGCAATGGGGGGATCTCCTCATCCACCCCCAGTGTGCGGCATCCACCTGGATGACGCGACGGCAGCCATTTTGCGCCAGACCGCACACCACACACCAGCTGATTGGTGGAGAGGAGACAGCGATGAAGCCAATTGGGATATGGGGATGGTTAGGAAGCCATGATGGACAAGAGGCCAGTGGGCAGATTTGGCCAGGATGCCGGGGTTAAACCCCTACTCTTTTTCAAAAGGACATCCTGGGATTTTTAACGACCACAGAGAGTCGGGACCTCGGTTTAACGTCTCATCCGAAAGACGGCGCTCACTGAGCAGTATAGCGTCAACGTCACTATACTGGGGCATTAGGACCCACACAGACCGCAGGTTGGGCGCCCCCTGCAGGCCTCACTCGCATCACTTCCGGCAGCAACCTAGCTTTCCCATGTGGTCTCCCATCCAGGTACTGACCGTGCGCAGCCCAGCTTAGCTTCAGTGGGCGACCATGTGAGAGTTGCAGAGAGCTAGCTGCCGGCATCAGCAGCTACCTGATTACTAAATCAAATTTTTTTTATTTGCTTTTCCATAATGTCCTAACTTTTGATTTGGACTTGTATAAAACCATATAAGTATAAAGCCGATCAGAGCAGTTGGTGTTTACTTCTGAGTCTACAATTTGCCACACCCATTCAAACAAAGGCTACGTCCGAAACCGCCTACTATTCAGTAGGTAGGGCATTTGAATTTGAACGTACTACTCGGCCGTTAGAAAAGTATGTTTATACAGTGTGAACGTGAAAAGTATGAATTGAATTCGGATGTACTACATCCGCCATTTTGTCATGGTCACGTGACCTACCTGCGTCAACTGCCTCGCTTTACTCCCATTCATGAAGTAGTAAATCATCCGGGTACTTCTTACGTACTGATTTTCGAATTCTATGAACTTGGACACTACTCGCCTCGCATAATGATTTTAGCGTACTATATAGGATGGAAGTATGCAATTTCGGACGCAGCAGAAGTGTTCTGATGATGGGGTTAAAAAATGACAAAAATTGTTAATTACTTCTCAATTATGATGTTTTTTGATGTAATTGTTTTAATAACATTACAAGTGGACCTCAGACAATAGTACAAAATAAATAAAATAAGGTATTTCAAAACCTGTCCATGAACTCCAATAGAAACACATTGGCCAAATAATTTCCTGAACTTCACTTTGTCCTTAAAGATAATGTGACTAATGATGATGCCTCTCATTGAACACTTTATAAACGGCAGCAAGTGGAAGATTGGTTCTCCTGGATGCATGAAACATGTTTGGTAATGCGTGATTTGTCTGTACAGAAATCTCCTCAGACTGAAAGTTGCACTGACAGTGGGGCAGAGAATGAAGGAAGCTGCCACAGTGACCAGATGAGCAACGATTTCTCTACGGATGATGGTGTAGATGAGGGCATCTGTCTGGATAACGCCAGCAGCGCGGAGCGGGTGCTCAAACCAAAGGTTACCTCACGATTTCTCCCAACGCAAGTGCCGTGAAACAACTGTGAGAAAGAAAAGATGAACATGACTTTTCTGTCTGCTTTACAGAGCTCCTTGACCTTTGAACTCTTCTCGGTCATGGTGCATTCTGGGAGTGCAGCAGGTGGACACTACTATGCCTGCATCAAGTCCTTCAGTGACAGCCAATGGTACAGCTTTAATGACCAGCACGTCAGCAAGGTCAGTCTGTTTACTTGATTCTATCTGGGAATCCATAAATCAATCCATATATCCATATATGTATATAATTAGGCCTGTCACAATAATCAATATATGGACTTATCGTGCAATACGTTGAGATGACCTCAAGTTTTGCGATTGCTAAATATTTACAAACTCACAGATAACATTAAAGCCATTTTACAATGACATTTACATTCTACCTCACTGGTGTCAACGTTTATAATTGGACATCTTCCTAATAGACTTTTAGCAGTAAATATAATAGGACATTTATTCTTTTTAATATAAAATTATAGAATCTAAATAACCTTAAGAATGATGAGTATTTTTAAGAGTTTCTGGCTATTATTATGCTGTTATGTAGTCTTTATATAATCAGTGGCATAAAATGAAAATAATATTGCTTATCACAACAATTTCTGTGACAATATATCGCACAACAAAATATCCTTATCGTGACAGACATATATATAATGCTACACGTCAACAACTGAAGGAAGCAGAGCTTGAAGGTAAACAAACAACGACTTACCATCCATTCATTCATTCATTCATTTTCTTGTCTGCTTAGTCCCTTTATTAATCTGGGGTCACCACAGCGGAATGAACCGCCAACTTATCCAGCAAGCTTTTACGCAGCGGATGCCCTTCCAGCCGCAACCCTTCTCTGGGAAACACATTCACACACACATTCACACACACACTTATACACTACGGACAATTTAGCCCAGTGTTTCTCAACTGGTGGGTCGCGACCCAAAAGTGGGTCGCAGAGTGTGTGTTAAAAAAAACAACAACAAAAGTTAAATTTTTTACTTATTTTTGCTTATTTCTGACTTTTATTTTGAAATGCGTGCGCGACAACCCTACTCTTTGACATGTGAAATTTCATTTAATTATTGCAACAAATATGTCAAGCGTAAGTACGACCCCGAATATGTAAAATATGGATATATATTGACAACAAAAAAGACTTAAAGCCTCAGTGTCATATGTAGTGAGGTGCTCTTATGAGAGCATGAAACCTTCTAAATTCAAACAACATTTAGAAACCAGAAAACACGTTTTATTAACAGTTTATTATTAACAATATTTGTCGTTTTTACTTTGTAATATTTCTATAATTTGATCCATTTTGTTAAATGACAACAATAAAATATTGTTGATTTGTGAGTCTTGGTGAATTTCTTATGATTTATCTGTCACTACTTGTTTATGTTAACAAATAAATAAAAATTAAGTATAATTCCTACCATTGTATTATAGTTCCTAAAAAATTTGGGTCGCGGCTTGATGACCATGTAAAAATGCTGGTCCCATGGCCAAACCAGTTGAGAACCCCTGATTTAGCCTACCCAATTCACCTGTACTGCATGTCTTTGGACTGTGGGGGAAACTGGAGCACATGGAGGAAACCCACGCGAATGCAGGGAGAACATGAAAACTACACACAGAAACGCCAACTGAGCCGAGGATCGCACAACCAGTGACCCAGCGATCTTCTTGCTGTGAGGCGAACGTGCTACCCACTGCGTCGCCACGGCTTATCATCTTATCAATAATTGTTTACACTGTTGGCATTAAGAAGTAACATATAAACATTATCTTTACACCAGTTCAAATAATTATTTAATTTTAATACTGAGAGGTTAAGCGTGCAAACATTATACTTTGCTCTGGTCAACGCTGAACGTTTTCTGTTCACTCTGTTCAACTACATTTTCTAAAACTGAAACTAAATCTATAAAAAGATAAATAGAAAAGGTCACAAAATAAAAACAACTAATAACTGAACAACAAAACCCTCAATGAAACAAACTGAGGCTTAAAATACATTTACAGTAAATTTAAAAATAGTATTGAAATTAAAGCTTATTTAAAAATGCTAAACTATAATAACCTTAATTCTTATAAACCTTAATAACCTTAATCCTATAAACGGCTAGTATATGTGGTCCTAATGCATTGAAATGTGTTAATACACATTGATGAGATGTGTTAATACACAGTTTGAGCATATTGATGCTCAATTTTGATTAAATCCGATATGCGTTTTGATGTTTCCATAGGTAGAGATGTGCATGTCCACACGCAATCAAATTTCACGCACTTTCATAAAATAATTTTGACACCAACTGCATACAATAGTTTTCAGATTCATCCACAAATTGTATGTCTGTTAATGAACTTGTTTTTCCTATTTTTTAATTCTCATTTCATATCAGTCATCTGTTATTCTTGTAATTATTTGACAGTACAAATCCACTGTCTCCCTTTTTGTTTTTCGCACAAAGAAAGAGAACCGTGTAGAGTTATAGGTTTATAGAAGCGGCTTGTAATTTATGTAAATGCCATCGTGTGTTTGTGTTTCAGATCACGCAGGACGACATACGGAAGACATATGGCGGATCCTCAGGGAGCAGAGGCTATTACTCCAGTGCCTTTGCCAGGTGTGTGAAGCCTCCGAGTCCGGCATTTGTGATCTCTTAGATGCCAGACAGACCCTTCTTAAATACTTTGCGCTTTTTTTTAAATACTCATGTTTATCATATGTTCTGCTTTTACACCCCAACAGCTCTACAAATGCATACATGCTGATGTACAGACTAAAAGACCCCTCCAGGAATGCAAGTAAGTAAACTGCCACTGATGAGGCAGATTTATTTATTGTTTCTTAATGTCCTAATGGTCTCAGTTTAATGGACTCTGTGTGTGTGTTTGCAGAGTTTCTGGAGGTGGAGGATTTTCCTGAGCATATAAAGAGACTGGTGCAGCGAGAGAAAGAGTCTGAGGAGCAGGAGAAGAGGCAAAGAGAAATTGAGCGCAACACTTGCAAGGTAAAGGGTCTGCACTGATAAAACCATTGCTTAGTAGCATAACTGCATAGAGACTTGGGCTGTGGTCCAATCCGATTGCAATGCTAAGGCTGTTGCTAACTAGCATCAAATGTATGGTTGCATCCTAAACCTATTAGCTTCTATATACTGTTCTCTTGCAATGTAGACTTTGTACATAAATAAAGAGTGAGTGTCGTTATAGATATCCATGCATGCATAAAGACTGAAAGACAGACCTGCATACGGACAGATATACATACAGACAGACATGCATGCCTGCATACAGTCAGTTAGGCATGCGGTTAGATAGACAGACATGTAGACAGACAGACATGCAATCATACATACATAGACAGACAGAAAGGCAAGCATGCTTACAGACAGACAGACATGCATGCTTACAGACAGACAGACAGACATGCATTTATACATACAGACAGACAGGCATGCATGCTTACAGACAGACATGCATTTATACATACAGACAGACAGACACATGCTTGCAGACAGACAGGCATGCATGATTACAGACAGACATGCATTCATACATACAGACAGAAAGACATGCTTACAGACAGACAGACAGAAAAACATGCCTTCATACAGACAGACACATGCTTGTAGACAGACAGGCATGCATGATTACAGACAGACAGACAGACAGACAGAAAGACATGTATTCATACAGACAGACAGACATGCATGATTATAGACAGACAGACAGACATGCTTGCAGACAGACAGGTATGCATGATTACAGACAGACAGACAGACAGACAGACATGCATTTATACATACATACGTACAGACAGACAGACAGGCATGCATCATTACAGACAGACAGACATGCATTCATACATACAGACACATGGACAGACACAGCCGTAAATTCATACAGACAGGCATGCAGACAGACAGACAGACAGACATGCTGATAGACAGACAGACAGACATACATTCATACATACATGCAGACAGACAGACATGCAAGCTTACAAACAGACATACAGACATTCATACATACATACATACACACACACAGACAGACAGACAGACAGGCATTCATACATACATACATACACACACACAGACAGACAGACAGACAGGCATACATACATACATACATACACACAGACAGACAGACAGGCATTCATACATACATACATACATACATACATACATACATACAGACAGACAGACATTCATACATTCATACATTCATACATACATACACACAGACAGACAGACAGACATTCATACATTCATACATACATACATACACACATACAGACAGACAGGCATTCATACATACATACATACATACATACATACATATAGACAGACAGACAGACATTCATCCATACATAGACAGACCGACATATACAGACATAAATGCACATATACATAGACAAACTACCATACAGACAGACAGACTAGCATACAGACATGCAGACATACATACATAAATACATACATGCATAAAGATAGACTGACATGCATGCATACATACATACAGACAGACAGACAGACAGATTCATAGAGTCATTCTAGCCACAATCTATAGACTTCATCACTCAGTGGTGGCTAACAAAGTCTGTAAATGTGTTATTTTCATACTCCGTCAGCTCACACAACAAAAATGATATAGTAGATGATATATATCACTAATTTAATGTCGTTGTTTAATCATTGTGAGGGTCCTTGATATTTAGGATGCTGCCTTATAATATCTGGGTAGACAAAGTCAATGTTTGCTCTGCCATTAGATCAAGCTGTTCTGCATGCATCCTGTGAAGATGATGATGATGGAAAATAAACTGGAGGTTCACAAGGACAAGACCCTCAATGAAGCAACTGAAATGGCCTATAAGGTAGGAAGGGTTAAATAATGTCATCTAAACCGAAAGTCTGAGCATATTGTCTAGCTTAAAATAGTAGACTGCCTGAATTTTTATTTTTATATTAAATAACTGGTGTCATTGTGTTCAGTTGTATGATGTGTATTGTCCTCTGAGCAGCTGATGGATTTGGAGGGAGTGGTGCCCCTGGACTGCTGTCGATTGGTCAAATACGATGAGTTTCATGAATATCTGGAACGTTCGTATGAGGGTGAAGAAGACATGCCCATGGGTTTGCTGCTCGGCGGGGTCAAATCTTCATACATGTTTGACCTGCTCCTGGAGATCCGCAGACCCGAGCAAGCGTTCCAACCCTACAAACCTGGAGGTATCTACTGAGCTGAATGTCTTTTGATTTCTACTTTTCTCATTGTTGCCATGTATCCTTTTTGAAACTGCTCACTGTGTTTTGTTTGTTTTTTTGATTGCAGAAGTGATGGTGAAGGTCCATGTGGTGGATCTAAAGAGTGAATCTATTGCCGCACCAGTCAGTGTCAGGGCATATCTCAACCAGACTATTACAGAGTTTAAGCAACTCATTGCACAGGTGCAGAATCTCATTTCTAAACACTGTTCCAATAATCTACGTTATATTAATTGTAGATGTAGTTTATTCTTAGCAGGGATTAAAGGTCTGCATTCCCGCGGCTGTCCTTCTGCAGCGCGGGACTAAATTTCCGAATAAATCGCGGGAGCGGTCGGTAACAGGTTTAATTTGGGACGGGAGCGGGCTGTCTAGCAATATCGCGGATATTGCTATGCGAATGAGAGAGAGAGAGAGAGCGAGCGAGCTTTGCCTGTGTGTGTGCTTGGTGCTTGTGTGTGTGTGTATGTTAGTGCGCTTGCGCGTGAATGAGAGAGAGCTTTCCCAGATAGCAAAATACACTCGGGCTAGTTCCGGCTAGATTCTCGCCTGCCGGAGACTTACCACTCAGCCCGGCTGCCGGACTCCGGATGCATGTGGACTCACTGCCCGATTCCGGCCCGAATCAATCGGGCCAGATGCGGCGGCCGTAAGCGAGCCGACGCTGCCGCATCCGCGCCGGAATCGGCCCGAGAGTAATGTGCGCTGCGGCCCGGAGCTGGCGCGACTTAGCATTTATATACCTTTATATAAAAATTTATATATACCTTTTGGTATTACATTGGTACTTGATACATGGTATTACAAGCCTTTGAGTTGATATAACAGCAAACGCCTGTGTGTCTGCTTGGTGCTTGTGTGTGTGTTAGTGCGCGCGCGCGCGTATGAGAGAGAGAGATTTGTCTGTGTGCTTGGTGCTGTGTGTGTGTGTGTGTTTATACAGACAGCTTGGCTGTCTGGACTGTATAGCTGGGGGATTTTCGGTTTTGTTCTCCCCCGCTCTTTAGCGGGATCAGGCGCAGCGCCCAGAAAACGGGGCGGGTCGGGCAGCGGGACAATAAATTCTTAATATAAGCGGGAGCGGTCGGGTTCGGGCTAAAACCTGGCGGGTGCGGGCGGGAGCGGGATTCAAAATTTAGCCCTGCGCAGATCTCTAGCAGGGATGTTCAGAACTATCCTGATTTGATTGTTAAATTGAAAAAACACAATGTTTACTAAAGGCTGATTTATACTTCTGTGTCAAGCGCACGTGTATGCTATGGCGCAGCCTAGGTGTAGACGCATAGCCCTCACAGTGGCCGTCTGCATCACTGACATGCACCTCTTATAAAATGTAACTATTCATTACAAGCTCTGTGATTGGTCAGCTTGGTAGCGCTGACGAGTGTGGGAGGGACCGAGAGTCCGTTGGAGCGTGTGTTTACAAGTGTCGACTGTTTTACAAGGAGCTCCAGTAGGAGACTGTTGCTTTGTGTTTACCTTATGGTTAAAGTTGTTGCAAGTCCGCCGGTTCCTGCCTCAAAATGAGCGAGTTTGAACCACTTGTATATTAGGGAAGCGTTCAGAAAAAAACAACACCAGCGAAAAAACTCAACACAAAGTAACATATACACCTACTGCCAGCTAGCGTTTCGGAAGTGTTATTGCAGAGCAACAGAACAGTTCGCAGAAGTATGAATGCACAGCTACGCACGTTGCATGCACCGTGGTTCACGCCGATCACTTGATGCAGAAGTATAAACCAGGCTTTAGTTAGCACATTTTATTCTGCTCACCACCTTACACATCACATCAGTGACCGCTTCAACACTGTTCATACAAAATCTCTGCCCCTTTTTCCTTTTCCCCAGCGTGCTTACCTTAGTACAGGGGTGGCCAACCCTGTTCCCGGAGACCCACCTTCCTGCAGATTTCAGTTGCAACCCATATCAAACACACCTGCCTGTAATTATCACATGGTGTTTAGGTCCTAATTAATTGGTTCAGGTGTGTTTGATATGGGTAGCATTTGAAATCTGCAGAAAGGTGGCTCTCCAGGAACAGGGTTAACCACCCCTGCCTTAGAACCAGTGCATGCGCTAACCTCATTTGTAACCCGGATAACCTTCTTTCAGGTGATCAGAGAAAGAAAATAACATGTTAACATTGAAGACTTAATAAACTCTATTTAAGGGTCACAATGCAGCTTCAAAACACCAATTACATAATTGTAATTTTACCACCAAATTTTTTACTATCCTTAAAATCACTAGCTTTTATCTATTTGTCAGCAATATGTCTCTGATCGTAAAAAAAGTAATTATAAATATAAATAAATTGTTATTAGAATAGATCATTATTATATATAGTCCAACCTGAAAATGTGTATAACCTCGGGAAGTTTTTGTTTAAATGTAAATAAAAGCTGAGAAGTATTATTTTTACATGATGATGTCTCTTGTACATCATCTTATTATCTTTTGGGAGAAGCCTGTGTCAATTTCAGTCCAAAAAAAAAAATTGAATAAAAGTAATTAAGTCAGAATTTGCCAGAGATATTAATAATTTCGGTCTTGTCTGTGTATATATTTCAATTTAATAAATACATGTCAGAATAACTAGGTTGTTACATCTTTACAGAAATATTCCTGTTTGGTTAAATAATGATGGAACAAGTTTGCAGTTGTTTGTATATAAACTAATTTTGTAAAAGTTGTTTGATACTGACACAAAAAAAAACTTTTTTTTTTTTTACTGATGCTTTATAAAAAGGCCGAGGCGAAATATGCATTTTTGTGTTTTTACTTTTAGAAAATTCCATAGGCTGTTCTAACCTCTTACCTGCTTGTTTTCTCAGGCAACGGGACTTTGTGCAGAGACGATGCGTGTCGTCTTAGAGCGCTGCTATAATGACCTTCGGCTTCTTTATGTGCCCAACAAGACCCTGAAAGCAGAAGGTTTCTTCAGGAGTAACAAGGTTCACTTGCATAACACTCATTTAAATGGCTCAGTTCCAAAATTTAGTGAGCCGCCTCACTGCCTGTCATCTAAGACAGCATCATAACCAAAGTACAACATGACTGGGTTTGAATTGCACTCATAAGCACATAATTGCTCCAGCAATAAAGCGAATGAAAGATTTGACTCTCCCTTTACAGTTCATTCTAATAGCATTTGCCATTAACATGTTGCTAAACCTAAAAGTATGTTACTCAAATACATGATGCTCATAAAAATGTTTTGGTATCAGATATGTGTAGTCTCTAACAAAAAGGTTGTATTTATAAGAAATAAAATAAATGTCAATTACTATATGTACTGTAGTAAGAACACAGAGACTGTTTACTAGTAATGCATTTATTTTAATATGTTCACTTGAACAGCTGTGAGATGTTACAGGAACACTCAGCCTTTTTAGAAATACATTTTATGTCATCTAGATTTTTAAAGTTGAATTTTGCCTTTTTTTATCATTAATTTTTTATCATTAATCATTTAATCACATTAGACTTTTATGCTCTCACTCAAGAAATCAAAAAAGAAAGCTTGACTCTTCTGTAGTTACACCATGCTTGAAACACCAGAATAAGATGTAATTTCCGAATGAAATGAAAATAAAAATGAAAGGTTGGTATTTTTAGGCTGATATGGCTAGAAACTGTACATTAGCTATATTATGATAAGGCTAGAAACTATATATTAGCTAGAAACAACTATATATTCGCTATAAAAATGATCAACTTTTCACTTTCTGTCAGTTTTAATGCACAAAGTATCTACAGAGTCCAGCTTTAAATAGGATGATTATCTAAACTTTTTTTATTTGTGCCAGATGAGAATAATAGTCTAATCTGATTCAATGATTTATGCTAAGCTAAGCTAAAATGTTCCTGCCAGAAACAGAGATTGACTGAATGGGTTAAAAAATATGGTAAAACTCAACTATTTAACTTCAGGTTACTTGTTAAAAAAATAAGTAAATTAATTTGCCGACCCCCCACATTTTTGAGCGAAATGAGTATATGGGCCTACTCACACTATGCCATCCGTACTGTGCCCAGGCCCGTTTCCCGGATCGTTTGAGAAGTGTGAGTGCTCTGAATCGGGCTCAAGCTCGGTTCACTTGGCCGGCCCTGGCCCGGTTAGAAGAGGTGGGCCTGAGCGCGGTACACTTGGGCTTTGGCGCGGTACGCTTGTGTGTGAGTGCAAAACGCGCCAAAGCCCGAAACTTAAAGCGAGACGTGACTTTTAAGGGACTGTTTCACATGGATTTATTAATCATTCTTACTGTTTAGTGAACACAAACTGCAGTAGTTTATTAAAGACGCAAACCTCTCACTGCGCGACAGCTGCGCGCCTTCAGCAGACCTCCATATTCCTGCAGCACGAGGACTTTATGATTGTTTTTGAGCGCCAAAAGTGGCGGATCTGTTTGGCGAAATATCTGACTGCGTGTCCCCGCATCCCTAAGGACTGTTTGGCGAAACATTTGACTGCATGTCACTGCACATCAATTGACTGAAACGATGTAACTAGAGAAATCTCCACTGTGCTGCTGAGTGAGAGAGCGCTTCTCACTGAACAGCCCAGCAGCGATGACGTAAGCGTGCCCAGGCCCGTTTGTGGTGTGAGCGCAGGCCGTCGGGGGAGACGGGAAGGGGGAAAAGCGTGCTTTGGCCCGGTTCGAGGCAACTGTCCCTAGTGTGAGTACGGCCTAATAGTTTAATCTGATTTAATAATTTATTTTAAGCTAAGCTAAAAGTGCTCCCACCAGACCCAGTGATTGGCTGAATGGATTCAAAATTTGTAGAACTCAACTGTTTACATTCAGTTTATTTGTAAAGTAAATAGTAAAAAAATTAAGTGAAATAATTTGTCATCCCCCCACCCCCCATTTTTCATGTAAGATGTGGAAAATAGTCCAATCTGATTCAATGATTGATGCTAAGCAAAGCTAAAAACGCCCCTGCCAGCCTTGGAAATATGACACAGAATGTGTTAAAAAAATACTTGTAAAATAATAATGACAAGTAAAATAATGTGTAATAAATAAATTAATAATTTGCACCCCTCACTTTTATTGAGTAAGATGAGGATAATAGTCTTAATGCTTTATGCTAAGCTAAGCTAAAAGTGCTCCTGCCATACCCAGAAATTGGCTAAATGGATTAACAAATGGTAAAACTCAACTGTTTAACTTCAGGTTACTTGTATAATAAGTAAAAAAAGAAGTAAAAATTGTGTTTCTGTAAAATTCACTTCCACACCCAAGTAAACAACATTTTTAAATGCATATCTCTTTATTTTTTCATTTTTTTAGAAAGTGTCTCTCAACCCATCTTAATTTAGCTTTTTGCTACAAAACTAAAATCGGTCATAGTGTATAAGTGTGTGTGTGTGTGTGTGTGAATGCGAGAGTGTATGGGTGTTTTCCAGTAATGGGTGGTGGCTGGAAGCGCCATCCACTCTGTAAAAAGTATGGCAGAGTAATTGGCGGTTCATTCCACTGTGGTGACCCCTGATAAATTAGAGACTAAGCCGCAAGAAAATGAATTAAAGACTACAAGACGCTCTTTCTATCTCCTCAGGTTTTCGTGGAGAGCTCCGACTCTACGGATCATCAGGCTGCCTTCACCGACTCTGTTCTGTGGAAGCTCCTGGACCGCCACGGAAACACAATCAGACTCTTTGTCTCTCTGCCTGAGCAGTCGCCAGGCTCTTTCGCCAATAGAACTAGTTGCCCCAAAGCCAGCGCTGACTCCGAGGACTCTTTTGATGGCGCCAAGGCCGGCAGAAAGTCAGTAGAGGCGATCCTTGAAGAGAGCACAGAGAAGCTGAAGAACCTTTCTTTACAGCAACAACAGCAGCAGCAGCAAACCTCCAGCACCAGTGACAGTCAGAAGAGCTCCGAACACAGCGATTTCGAGCACATCGAGTCACCAGCACAGGAGCCGGATGCTTCCTCACAGCCTTCGCAGACGGAGAACTGCACGCGGGCCGCTTCCGACACGGACAACCAGTTCCCTTCTGAGGAGCGTTCAGACTCGGATGTCAATAACGACCGCAGCACCAGCTCAGTGGACAGCGATATCCTGAGCTCCAGCCATAGCAGCGACACACTGTGTAATGCAGACAGCGGCCCGCTGCCATTGGCTAACGGATTGGACTCACACAGCATCACCAGCAGCCGACGCTCCAAGGCACATGAGGGGAAGAAGGAGACGTGGGACACGGCAGAGGAGGACTCAGGCACGGACAGCGAGTATGATGAGAACGGCAAGAGCAAAGCTGACACGCAGTACCTGTACTTCAAAGCAGAGCCGTACTCTCAGGAGGACGGGGCTGGAGACGGACAGAAAAGTAAAGCTGCTTTATTGATTTTAAGTTTCATTTAGGTCTTAGGGGCTAATCACACCAGACGTGGGTGAAACGTCAAGCGGGAGTGATTTAAACAATAAGTTTGCTCATCGTTTGCTTGTACTAAATACATTTTACGTTTTTTCCTTCTGTTGAACACAAAAGAAAATCTTTTCAGCAGAATAAATACACTCATAAAGGTTAATAACCATTTACGTTTGAGTAAATGATGAGTAAACTTTGGGTGAACTATCCTATTAAGTGCTAGTTTGAATAACTGATCACATGATTTCGTGACGATTTCCTTGACGTAGATTTCGTAGAGAGTCGTATATGACAAATGGACGTTGTGACCCAAGATTTGTGTAATGGCATAGTTCACGACAACCAATACCATGTCTGCGATGCCCTTTCGACACCATCGCAGAAAGTCTTGCATGTTTAATTTTCTGGACCATAGTGGACTGGTTTTGAAGCATTTCACCTCAGATGTTATTCGTTATTTTTGTTTACATCCATACATATTTTTTTATACTGCAACATTTCAAATCACAATTGCGATTTGATTTCGATTAATCGCACAGCCCTAGTTTAGAGTCATTGAAATGTTATGTTATTGTGAGTAAAAAGTGATCTATTTCAATCTTAAGCCTCTCTTACTCTAAAAATAAAAATAAAATGAAACGCAAAAATAACAACGACGAATATGGCACAGTAGGTAGTGCTGTTGCCTCACAGCAAGAAGGTTGCTGGTTTGAGCCTCGGCTAGTTCAGTTGGTGTTTCTTTGTGGTTTGCATGATCTCCCTATGTTCGCGTGGGTTTCCTCCGGGTGCTCCGGTTTCCCCCACAGTCCAAAGACATAGAATTTTGTCTTATGCATATATTTGTTCAAAACTACAGTTGTGCTGCTTAGTGTTTTTCTGAAATAATGTTTTCAATATGCCGACTGTTTCAGGTTTACTTGTTCACGTGGACAAGAGGATCACACTGGCAGCATTCAAACAGAATCTAGAGCCGTTTGTTGGCGTGCCCTCCACTCAGTTCAAGGTCTTCCGAGTTTACGCCAACAACCAGGAGTTTGAGAGCGTCAGGCTCAATGAGACGCTCTCCTTTTTCTCCGATGACAACAAGGTAATGTTTTAGCTTTGTCCTGTCCCAGCTTAAAGAAACACTCCACCTTGCTTTTGAAAAAGGCACATTTTACAAGTTTTCTAGAGTTGAACGGCTGAAAGGAACCATTTTTAAATCCATTCAGCCGATTTATTTAGGTCACTGTTAGCTTTGCTTAGCATAATGAATTAAATCCAATTGGACCATTAGCATTTTGTTCAAAAGGAGTTTTGATACTTTTCATATTTAAAACTCAAGTCTTCTGTAGTTACATCATGTAATAATAAACAACTGAGAATGAAAAATGAACATTTTTTAGTCAAATGTTGCTAGGGACTATAGTCTCACTCTGGCGTAATAGTCTAGCAACACTCCTACTGTACCATGGCTGCACCAGGCGAAGTTATATTACTCAGGACTTGATAATGGGCTATTTTCAGAGGGCGCATTGAAAAATATGAGAGACTTCTGTAAAGAACATATAGACCTACATTTGACTGACACAATCAATAAACACTTCATGCTTGCTGTCAACTTCATTATCTATAGGAATTCTGTGTCACGAGTCACGACATTGTTAGGATCTGTTGTTGTCAAGATTAGGCTTCTTAAGAAATTTGCTGAATGGATTCAAAAACTGTTTAGCTTTTGTAAAATGAGCCTTTATCAAAAACAAGGTGGTGCTTCTTTAATACTGCCACTGCATGAATTATTCTTGCAATTCTGTTTATTGCCACTAGAGGTGCATCAATCACACACTTCATTTTTACATTCACTCCTGTTGAACAGATCACCATTCGATTGGGACGTGCTCTGAAGAAAGGAGAGTACAGGGTGAAGGTCTACCAGCTGCTAGTCAATGACCCAGAGGTGAGCCACAAAGAGCCTTGTGTGCATTTAGAAATTCATTTATTCTAGGCATGGGCCTGTGATTCTGGTAACCTTGGATAAAAATATCACGGTTTTACAGTATTGTGATTACTGCTCTAAAATGTATTATTTTTAAATGCCTGGTTAAACAACAACTTTTTTCCCTATTGAACACAATATATTTTATTTTAAGAAACTGAAGGTGTGTATAATTAGATCGTTGGTTCTGACGTGTTTGTTCCTTGAACAGTTTGAAAATAAAATGAAATTTCTATAATTTTGAAAATAAAGCAGGATGTTCTAATCTATTAAAAAGTAAACATCAAAATAAACATAAACCCATTGTCAAGTCCATCACTGTCAAAACGTTTGTTTGACCTTCTTCTAGGCCCCAAAGGCTGTCGCTAGAAGACCATAAATATATTATACACCACAGGATAACAACCACAAAATTACTCCTACAGAAACATTTTAAATATTTTTGAGCAGTAAACATGTCTGGCTAAATAATACAAATGAATCGATTTGTTTTTCAAATGTTTGCTGAATTCAGGGTTCATACGGTCATGGATAACCTGGAAAAGTCATGGAGTTTTTACATGGCATTTTCCAGGCCTGGAAAAGTTTTGGAAAAACCCACAAAGTTTTGGAAAAGTCATGGAAATTAGTTTAACAAATATCTGTATACTTGAATTAGGGCTGCGCGATATTGGAAAATTACGATATTTTGTATTTCTGTGATGTATATTGCTATGAATAAAATATAGTAAAGATAAAAGTGAAATATAGTTTTCAGGTATTCACTATTCAGGTACAGATAATGAGTAATCAACACTGCATAGTCTTCATTGTATTTTATTAAGTCTTTACAATGTTTTAAAATTTTAAATATTGAAATGTTTACACAGTCACAGGCCTTAAAGGGACAGTTAATCAAAGATGAAAATGTTCTCACTGTTTACTCACACTTCACTTGTTTCAATACTATAGGAGTTATTAAATTATATTCTTTTTGTGTTTATTAAAAAAAAGAAAACTCATAGATGTTTGAAACAAGTGAAGGGTGTAATGAAAATGGTAAGTCATTTTTGGGTGAACTATCTCTTTAAAAATGCATGCAGATGATTAACTTTTACTCCATTAAGATTAAACAATTATATATCTACATATATATATATATATAAAATATATAATTATAAATA